TTCCGGGTTAAAAGAGTGAGGCCCTGAAGTTAGGGCCGTCAAACATCAATGTAAGGATAAGAGTAGAAGGATGATAAAAATCCCTCAGGGCTTTTATTCCCTTACAGATGTTCCTCACAAAGAGTGGTTGGTGATCTTGATGCATGGGGGAGTATATTGGCCTATCCCGCCCTCTCATAAACAAGATGGGATGAGAAATGCTCCTGTTGCCCGTTCGAAATTGGTCTGATGTCATGATCCCCAACCCTCTTGTATCTGGAGTTTCGCCCGCCCCTGCACTCAGGGGATAGAGTAATGGAAACAGCTGCAAACTCTGTGCGCACCCAATTTCAACAGGGAGGGACCGCTCCCAGCCTGAAAACATTTATCAAGTCTTGAGGCCAGGAGGGGTTCCTCCGGGCCTTGAGGCCTTACATGTCTCAAGGTCTAGAGGAATAACTCTCCACCCTGAGACTGTAAAAGGTATCAAGGTCAAGAGGGGACGCCTTTGGGCCTGAGACTGTAAAAATTCGCAAGGGCACGAGGGAGCCCCTCTTATCATGTGGCTGTGAAGTCTGGGGCTGGCGTGCAGGTCCGCACGCCAATTTCGATTGGCGTGCGGTCCCACACTCCATTCAGGGAAGGGAGTGTGGGAGTGTGTGTGCGAAGGGGGGTGGAGTGTGATTATCACTCCCCCTATGGGACAGCCCAGGTCCTAAACGCATATAAATATGTGTTTAGGACCTAAAGTTGGGTGTGCACGCAGGCACGCCAACCTGCAGGGTATACCCCTGCAGGCAAATGGCTTGCCTGCCTGCACGCCATTCTGCAATGGCGTGCGCTTATCAACCCCCTAACTGGTATTGTTTGTAGTGTTATCCAACTTAACCCTAAATTCCCAAGAAGAAAAATAAAAAAACAAGAGATGGGGGGGGGAGGGGCTTGTAAGCATGTATGTTGTGATGTATGAACCCAGCAGGATTTTATTTTATTTGTGTTTTCAAAACTAGAGACTAGGGTGAACTCAGGCTCTAGGAGCTGAATGATAGTGATCAGGGCTGCAGGGAAGAGTTCTGTACCCCAGAATACTGAGCTATCCTAGTTGCTGGAAGATACTTAAAAATCCAAGCCTGAATTTCTGAAAATCAGATCCATTTTGGGCTAATAGCAGGCAGAAAACCAATAAATTTTTATTCTGATTGGAAATATGAGATTTTTATCTTTGTTGTTGAATCAACTTTGATTATTCTATTGAGAAATCTGATTTTTTGGGGGTGGGAAATCCCACAATTAGCTTGAAGCTGAGGTGTAGGATTAACCAATTTTGATCCAAGGAAATAAACTCAGCCATGTTCCAAAGATTCAGCCAGAACAGAAGGGATCAATCTTGCAATCTGTCTAACCACAGTGGGGGTGAATTTCATTTTTCCTGCTCAAATACTTAAGCAAGGAGAACCTGATTCACCAAGATAAAAGGATCCCAAGAAGACACAGGTGGAAGAGGTGAGCCCACTCAAATGGTTCTAGAAGATCCTAGCTTGCACCGATCTCCACGCCAGCTAATACAACTTGGGCTCACATGTTGCCAGCTACTCGATGATGAGGATATACGTGGCCCCACTGAGATGAAAGGGTATCTGTAACGACTAAGGTCACAGCAGCCCAAGACAAGCACTGACTAGTTTTTTGAAGCAACACAAGTTTTGATTTTTGATTACAGAAGTTCTGTAGTTTTAGTGATAAAACAAAGATTTCACCATGAGGAAAGAGACCCTCAAGGCGAGTACAAGTCTTTAAATATTTTCTCCTAGCTACAACCAAGTTAGGCTACTCACCTATTCTGCTATCGCTAACCTCTTACAGCTTGATATAAAAATCTGTTTTCTTCTTCAATAGTTATTTTCTTGATTATTTTCTTGAAATTCTTCTTCTTTGATACTTTTTAAAGTGTCGAACCATTCTTTCTTCTTATAAGAATACCAAACCCTTTTGAAATTTTTCTCCTACGTCATTGATCTATTTCTCTAACTGAACTCATTTTCATAATAGTTTTTTGAGTTTTGCTGGGTGTTGTGCCTGCTCGTTACAGTATGTCTAATCGGACATAATCTTTCAATGAAGTGGATTCAGGCGCCACTACTGAATACTTGAGGAGTTAATCAGAGTTCCTTGTGGCGGTCCGCATCAGCTTCTGCCACCAGTCAGACCAGTCATGTTCCATGTTAATGTATGTAAAAGGGCGCAATGGAACATATCAGATGGCCAACCTTATTTCTCAAGAAATTCAGACTATTGTCCATAGATGTTAGTGAAGAATAAGTGTCTTGATTCCGTGGAGTATTCCGCATGACAGATACGCAAAGAGTATTGAATGATATCAACTCACATAACAGGTTTAATGAAGCACCTCCTACCGGGGTCTAAACCGTCTGATTTCTAGGTCAACCAGGCCGATAAAACCCAAAATAGCCATCAGTTAATAAACCTTACCAGCCCATCTATTTCACTTTCTTCCCTCCTTACATGCTCCGGTCATCTTCTCGGTAAAAGCTCTACAGACAGCCGGGGAAACCCTGCGTTTTATGTGGGGACAGGCTTAACTCGGTTTTGTTTTTCTTACCGAATTCAGTTCGAAATCCTGTTTAACCTGCTTTGTGAGCACCACTCAATGGAACTTCTTTCAAGATATGTCTCATGATCAAGGTCAATATAAAAAAACAACACGGCAAAAATTCTTTGCCAAGAAAATCGGTGTCAGAAACTGCGTTCGAGTCTCGAGAAGGATTTCAAGCGCACATACTTCCCTGCCTGTTCTTCCAGAAGGAACAAGAAAATCTGGGGCCTGCAGTACGGATTCCCCAGACGCCTTCGCCATGTCATATGGGCAGGCAGATGTGAATTATCAATGACCCATGGGTTGGTTGAAGAGAAACGCACTAAAGAAACTCGGAGGTGTGGAGGTTTGTCAGCAGGGATAGTGACATTTAAAATAAAGTTTGAACATTAAAAAGATCTTGCTATATAGACGGACTTGCAGCCTAGGCGTATTAGTCGAATCCAGTCACCATCGGTAGAGAGGAGTGTTATATCGCCTTTTTAGAAATCGTGGAGATCTTGCAGGAATGTATGGATTCATTCATAAATAGAGAGCTTCCTCGAGACTTCAATAATCAGCGGTCGATACATCGAAAAAACAAGCAACAGGAAACCATCAAAATTAATCTTTACTACTATAATAATGTTCCTTCGGTTGCTTATTTTACTATTGTTATCGATCAACTTATTGTCCATCAATCTCGTCCATTGCGGCGAAATTGAACGAAGAAATGAACCGAATGACCAGCTTCAGAACATCACGTTAGACGAATGGGTCAAGAATCAAGTCAATAAGTCTTGGGCTATACTCATGTCAAATGTTTCGCCTCAGGGTGCTTTACCTGGTCTCATAGTCGCGTCTTTAACGTAAGATTATTGATTTGTTGAATCAATCTCGTCCATCATACCGATTTTTAACTCATTTTTTTATGCCTAAATATTTGCCGACCTCCAGGACTGGGCATCCCAACTACTTTTTCAGTTGGACTCGTGATACGGCCGTGTTAGTGGTTTTCCTCCCATGAATTTTTAGACACGTGTGAAGTATAGTTATAGTCGCGTGTTTCTGATGTTGACTCCGGAGTTCTCATCTCCATGCTTTCCCCTGAGTGATTCCAGTGTTCTGAAGGAGATCATATCTCGGTATGAAGAAACCAATGATCCCAGTCTTCTGGCGATAATCAAGCAAACGATTTCGGCCACCCAAGTGATCCAAAAGGGATCATTGAGCTCTGAAGCGAACATGGGCGAACCCAAGTATGAAGTCAATGGCTCGCCTTACTCCGGATTGTGGTACAGACCCCAGAATGACGGCCCGGCATTGCGCGCTACTGTCTACATGAAATTCGCTCGAGTCTACTTGAAAGTGGGAGGGATCGAGGCTTTGGAATATGTCGAACGGGTCCTGTATAATAGCAATAATGTCACCGGTAGTGTTATCAAAGGTTTGTTTCTTTAACTGTCCTCTATTTTCATTTAGTTATGTCACGAAAATCATTATAAGAAACTAACTTGTAAAAAAAAATTGAAACGAAGTGGATTTGGAATACATCGCTAAGAATTGGAGAGGGATCTCTTTCGATCTATGGGAGGAAGTGAAAGGACACCATTTCTTCACCTTTTCCGTCATCCAACGTGCACTCAAGGAAGGCGCCCAATTCTGTCAAGAAATCAAGGATCAGAAAGCTTCAGCCTTCTATCAAGAACAAGCGGACCAAGTTGGTGAACAGTTGAAGCTTTTCTGGGACGATCAAAAAAAGTTTGTTGTGGATAGTAGGGATTTACTCTGGATTTATTATGGAAAGGTTCGTCCCCTCTCATCCTTCCAAAGCTTCACTGGCCATCAACAAATTTCCAGAAAGTAAAAAGCTGATATTAGAATCCTTTTCTTTTTCTTGATCAAGACTTCTGGATTGGATGTCGGAACGATCCTTGGTTGCCTGCATTCTGGAAAACACGTGTCCGAGGAATTCAGGCCTGGATCATACAAGATGACCAATACGTTTAAAGCTTTGCTAAATTCCATGAAGTTTGTCTTCTTTTCAATTCTTATTGCCCGCAGAGGAACCTTTTGATAACGCGGCTCTTGAGATTGATATGTTAACTGATCCCGTTATGCGCACGTCTGACACAGTTCCCTATACCCACTCAATCAACGTTACGAGCATTATGCTGCCAAAGCGATTGGAAGGTACCCCGAGGATGTAAGCAAGAAGTACCCTGTTCTGATGTGTCAGCATAAACTGAGACATGATTGCAGGTCTATGATGGCGAGAATAAGACCCACGGAAACCCATGGTTCATCACCACATTAGCCATGTCCGAGTATTTATATAGAACCAACTCGACCGGTGCAGATGTCAACCTATTCAAAAACGAAACGGGTTTCGAAACTCGACAAATAGCCGACCAGTTCTTGATGATTGTCAAAGACTCTGTTCAAGCCAACGGGTCGATCCATGAAGGCTTCAGTAGGATCGACGGTTCCGGCGTCGGCGCTCGTGATTTGACTTGGTCTCATGTGGCTTTCTTGTCCATGGAAAGGGCTAGAAGAGGATTGCCTGAATTCTAGTTCGAAACCACAAGCAGACTCCATAAATGAGTTTCATGTTGTTTTTAATCTCTCTTCTTTTAAAAATAAAAAATGAAAATCGAAATATGACTCGATTGATGCTTTTACATGTGAAGACACATCTTCTTTCAAGAATTGTTATAAAATGATGAATCTGCTGATCATGACAGACAGAATCCTGCAATCCAACAACAATTGGTTTCCAATCAATAAATATTTAGGCATTGTGAGTTCATATATAGTGAATGGTTGGTAGCAGGCCCGACGGGAAATTTCTCCCTGGTGATGTCCTCATAGTATCGATGTGGCCAGGTGGGCGGGTAAAAAATCATCAGGATTCAGAGGAAAAGGTGATCAGGCGACAAACTTGTGGGTGCTGCGATGGGCTTGCTTTCCCCCGGTCAGAAACCCCGAGTTTCTTTTTAGTCAGACAAGCTGCAGCCCGGTTACTCCGCCTTTCCCCCGACCCCCACAAATTATGTCAGAAGGAAACAAGTGCCTTCTTCTGAGCGCTGGAACCCGCGGGGTACCCGGGCATTTTGGCCTTGCCCGCGCCCCGACCCGAGGGTATTCCCGTCCCTCGGGTACGAAAATCAGTGAGACCGAGGCCTACCCGCGGGTATAGGGAACGGGCCACGGGTACCCGCGGGGTTGAATTTGGGCCGGGCATACCCGCTCATTGGAGGGTATACCCGCTCAGCATAGGATATATCCGCCGATACAGGGTCCCGCCTCGGAGATACCCGCGGGTACCCCGGTTTGGGGACGAGCTGAGGCCACTTGGCCCCTACTGCCCCTCCCCCAGCGCAGACCCGAGATACCCGCGGGTATCTCCAAGGCGGCCCGTGGACCGTACCCGACCTACCCGTCGGTCTTCGGGCTCCTGAAAAGCTGTCCCGGAGCCCTAAACCGTTGGTGTACCCGCCGGGTATACCCGGAGGTCCCGGGAACGGGTTCCAGCACTACAAGTTCTTCAACTGATCCCATCAACCACAACAACAACTTGGCTTTCAGATTATACGAGTCGAGCGCTTCAACTGATCCCATCAACCACAACAACAACTTGGCTTTCAGATTATACGAGTCGAGCGAGAAGATGTTTCCGACTTTGAAATTGTTTCATCGGATCAACTGTCCTGACAACCGCCCACCACAATCAACTTGCTCGAGAGACAACTGTCTATTCAACCATTCCCAACCAAAACCAGAGCCAGAACCCAAACCAAAACCCAGAGAGAATGGAACGCAGAAGCAGAAGCAGAGCGTCCCACCCACCGCAACGAGCAGCCAGCCGAAAGTAGAACCATCTGAGCCGCTGAAGCCACAACCGCCACGGATTGACATCAGCAAGACGATGACAAGCTCGCACACGTTCCCGTCGGTTCGTCAGAAGTTGTTGGAGACGTTGTACCAGGAGTATCTGAAGCTCTACCAGGGCTTGAAGATGTCGGACGAGCAGGCAAGCGAGGCGGCCCGGCGGGACAGTCTCCAGGAAGAGCTCGACTGTCTAAGAGCCTCCAGCCAGAAGACTTACCGCAACGCAGTGATCTCTCGCGTCGTCAAGATCAGAAAACGGGCCTCCGAATCATTATCAGCCTTTCAATCGCTCACCGGAACCACCACTGAGTTCGATCAGCTCAAGCAGGCCCAACAAACCCCAAAATCATAGTCAATCTTATCCTCCACAAATATATCCTGAATTATTCCCTTAAATTATCTTCAGAACAATCTTGTCAAGAAAACTCGATCGGACCGAATATGGTCTTGTGAATGGATATGATCAACAGAATAGTGCAAGAAAGCGTCTGTACAAGAAACTTTTACTAGCCAAAGAACCTCGGAACATCTCCTGGTGAAGCGTTCGATCATTTTCAAATCGGGAGATCGGGTCGAGAGAGAGAAAGAGAGACTCGAGTCATCAAAAAAAACTACAACTGCAGTACAAGCGAATCAAAGTCGATATAGCGCCGTTGAAAAAGTCACAAAGCAAATATTCGGGACACGTGACTCATGCCAAGGTTCGGACGAGTCTAGACTCCCTCCCTCTCTCTCTCTTAAACCGATGAACAGTATGTATGCAGGGAAGGGGCTTGATCATTATAAGGAGTAAAAAACAAAAGAAAACGAGCCCGGTCTTGGGGCCAATCAAATCGTAATACTCGAGCGGGAAAAACACGACAGACTGTGGATCACGTCCAGCAAGACATGTCGTCCTCAAAGCAAAACCTGTCTCGGAGCCCTCCTCAACTTATCTCTTTTCAAAACAAACAAAAAAGTCGCCGAAATCGTCGGATGGAGGTTCTCTACCTAAAACGGCGCCCTAAACTTGTCGTTTTTTTTTTTATCTGGAACCATTGATCGACTTTCTCTTCGCCTTATCCTTCAAAATAAACACTAGAAACAAACAAAAAAAATCCATGTATCTTTATAGTAATGGACATGTGTGTACCCATACGGTGGTGAAAGTCAGATTGGTTTCTTAATTAGACGTAATAACACAACCCAATCCCAGCTTTGTCTTTTTGTTTGTTTTTCATCCTAAGGTAACCTTTCATCCAACTTTCTGGGTCTCAATTAAATGAAGGTGTAGAAAAAGGATCTTCAAGTAATCAACCACCCAAGATTGATGTTTCCTTAGTGGGTATGTGTGTTGTTTGTATGTAACAGCAGCCATAGCCTTGTAAGTCCCTTATATACCTCTACACCATATCTTCTGCACAACACCTTTGTAAAAGTCTACAGGGAATTGGATTGCAGTTGGATAGATTCCAGGGCAGACATGCAGCTCTGACCTGGCTTTTTTTTCTGTTCAACATGACTACCATCATAAGAATGACATCTTTCAGGTTTGTACACCATTGATCCAAAGTTTTTTTTTTTTGACAAATAGGCCAAAAAAAGAGTGATGTGAAGTGTTGGAAACCAACATCTGCAAGAAGCTAACTATAGCTGAAGTTAGATGACTTCAGTTCCATCCAAACACTATCAATTTATCTTAATTTGGGATTCTAACTTTGATGGATGGACTATAAAAATCTAGTGAGATGAAGAGATCCAACAAATCTCAATGACCACAACAAAAAAGGATAAAAAGGGGGAGGGAAGAGGATGACCTATAGAAAAGAAGTGGGCAGTGGCTGTGCGGTTTACTTAAAACTACAACATGATTTAAAACGAGGCATGTTTCTGAGTGGGAAATCCCCATTATAAGGACCTTTGTCTGACATGTGTAGAATGGGTTGGTTGGTCAGTGGACTAACTAGTTGAATGTGTAACTTCAAGGGAGTTGCACATTGTTGCCTTTCCAATCAAGAGATTGTTGGCCTTGGCATACATTTAGCCTCTCTGGATTATGTACGATGCAAAAGGAACCTATACATCGACTCGATAATTTTTTTTTATCCTTGCAACTCTCTGATCACAGACTTGATCTAAAGTTTCAGCTTCTTAAGTCTACCAAGACTTGATCAAGAATCTGGAAGGAAACAACGCCCTGGAGGAGAGGATTAATGCGGCTGGCATGGTCCAAGACATCGAAGCGCCATCGTCCGCTGTGATCGATCTTACTCGGCCCAGGATCCCAGAAGCTGGCCTCCTAAGTCTGTAAAGCCTATATTTAACCTTGGGTTTGGGAAGTGGGTTGTTGATGAGTTAGTGGGGGGAGAGGATGGTGAATATTCGACCAGGGGCAGATCATGATCTTCAAGCGACTTGCCACTTTCTACATAGCCTGGTCAAGCTGCAGCCACCCGATCGCCCGCATACATGCACCAGCACGGGGTCGCAAACCCCGATCAGCCCAGTCTCAGAGCTCCTCGCTTGTCCTCGGGGGGCAAAACCCGGGGCTCGGTCCTCTCTCTCTTCCTTCCAACCAGCTGAAGGAGCAACCTTCAACCACTAGAAGCACACAAAACCAACCAATCACCACCACAATCTGAATCAATCAGGAAGCCAAGGAAAACCTAAAAAAACCACCCACAACCAGTATGGTCAAACAAACGAACACAGAACTCATCAGCACATAAAAACAAATCACTCTCGTCTCGAAACCTCTCTCTCACTCCCTATCATCCTATCACCCTATCACCCAGGAAAGGAACGAAAAACACACACACACACAAGCTCACAGATAATGGCACAGTCGAATCATCAGCCCTTCAGTCCGCCTCCAGCTAACAGAGAGACTTACAAGGATCTACTCGTCTTCGAAGAACGCCTCAAACAGAACGCTGAACGCCTCCAACGCCAACGGATCAAGTACGAAGGTTTGTCCATCTTCCTGTCCTCTCCAACCTCTTCCATTCATTCAAACTCACCCCTTTTGTATATGTCCTTTTTTTTCTCTCTCTCTGTTTCTCGCAATCATGAGTCTCGTAGCTTTCTTGGTCACTATTATCGCCTCCAGTCTTCTCCTGGCTTACAAAACTTTTATCGCTATTTCTCCCGTAAGTCTTATTTCGTGTCATTCAAAAAACCAAACAAATGATGGAGGAAATGGATGTTGATGATGGTGTATGCTTTTCCCCTTGGGGTTTTTGATAGTATAAGCTCATTCATTATCTTTATGTTGCTCTCTTCCTCGTCTCAATTACCACATTGATTTTATTCTTTGCTACTGGAATGTACACTGATCAAATCGCTTATGCTTACAAGTTCAGTCATACCTCCTCCTCCCCCTGCTCCGTTTTTTTTTCCCATTCTCAATCCAAACCGCCCACAGCCAACTAATTCTATCTCCGCTTCTACCCACACACGAAAACTGAGATAGATTTATACCCCAAACCAACCGAGCATTACGGCCGTTCAACATGTTTCTAATCACGCCATCGACGGCCAGTTCGATTACGCGGACGAACCAGAGCAGTGGAGGGGGCCTGATCGGAAGTGTTCTGAGCCGACTCTCGATAGGACTGATCGTTGAAGGCCTGCTGGGCACGATGTTCAGGCAACTCTTCCAACGCCCGAGACGGCCGCCAACAGCCCAGCAATCCCCACTCAAAGACCCCCACAACCTCCTCCTGCTTCTCCATCCTAAGGACGACCATCTCAAGAACTTGAAGAAAATTAACCCCAGAGGCGAACTCCTCTTCTCGTCTAACGTCAATCCCCAGTTCATCGATCAGTATAAACTCTATCGGAATCAATGGGAAATCCGGCAGAAAAAATCTTGAGCTTCTCTCTTCTTTTTTTACTGATCTTCCTTTCTCTAGAGATTGCTATACTTTATCTTAATCGTCTTTTTTTTTGAAATATCTACTTGAATCTCTCTCAGTCCCACCCCTCTCTGTAGAAATATATGCTCCTCTTCCTTTTTGTCTTCTTTTGGATGCTCTTCTTAAATTATAGTGTATGTGTCTAGTAATTTGCGCTAACAGCTTTTAATCTCTTTATATATATATATAGACTTATTAACGTGTTATTTTCTCGGTTCTCAAGAAGTTCATCATGTGGTCATCAAGATATCCCTCTTTGATTTATTGGAGATAGGACTTGGTTCTTCCTATACATCCATCTTCTTATACCCCAACAACATGCCCTGCCTGTTTTTTCTGAGTTTGTTCTATTTTTTGTTATAGTCCAGTTTAGTTAAAAGTATCTAGTTTCCTAATAGTGATGAATTTTAGTTGAGATGTCATCCCTTGATTCTTCAATCGTTCTTCTTTCTTTTCACTCTGATGATCATCTCACTTTTTTTTTCCTTTTCTTCTAGAGAAATTCCTTGCATTGTTAACCGGTCTGCTGTGTCCTACAGGCTCCATCAAAACAGAGTCCACTTGAAGTGGAATGGTGGATGTAGGATTTTGTCAAGCATTCTTGATCAAAATGGTGGTTAAAAGGAAGGACGAATTTTATTTGTCTTGCATTGATTAGAATGATGCATGCCACAACCACATCCAGCCCAAACAGGTGCCCAGGGCAGCAACAAGGCTTAGCCAGGTCGAGGGGATGCAGCCCCTTTGGATCACTGCTTGACGATCACTTAAATGTGATCTGAGCAATTGTTTACATGAATATCCATTCCCCCAATCGTTCCTTTAACAATATTGGAATTACAAGGAAATCAGGGACTCTTTTTCTTTTTTTTTTCAATTCTCAGCTAATGGAAATCAAATCAACTGTAGTTATAAGTTTCTGATAAGGTGATCTCATTAAGGAATCTGGGACAGCAGAGTCAGTTTGAGGAAAGATAATCCATGATACTACAATGGCTAATAAGCAGCAACGGTGAAACAATGCAATAAATAGCCATTTATTGACATCAGATTGTTTTAGAAATGCATATTAATTCAATACCAATGTGACGCATTGAAATGAGATTGTATTGGAAAGCAATGCAAATAGTGATGGATGGATCGGAATACCAATGGAAGTCGATAATATCGGCATCACTCCCAAATTACTGGGCATCACATTGCATTGCTGAATCAATGTGATGCCGATTCTCTGCAGCATTGAAGAATCCAATGGAAGCAATGTGGTGCGGTGCCCCTGCATTGCTATCTCAATGTGAGGTGATGTGATTCCTATGCATGCATCACATCAGTTACACCGGTGTAAGCAGGTTTGAATCATGCTGGATCAGCACTGGGCTGCTACGCTTTTTGCCCACAAAGCATTTGGCGTAGTGGTTTTTTTTTGTGCACCAAAATTGTGCATTGTTAGCAAAAAGTTAGCGGCTTTCTGTTACACTACGCTGCGCTAGGGTCTGCTAACGGCCGCTGCTAACCAGCACGTTAGCGGGCCTGCACACGTAGTGTTAGCGTTGACGTGGCGGAATTCTGCTACGCTACGCTAAAGTTAAGTGGAATTCCGCTATGTTATGCTGCACTAACTGCTACGGTTAGCATTGGCTAGATTCTGTTCATTCACTTTTTTGATTGGCTTGAAACTTGACCAAATCTCAAAGCAAAAGTTTATAAAGCTATATGAATGCATGTTCATCATACCCTGTTGGCATAGCAGGATTATACATCCACTTCAAGAGCCCCCTGCAACTTCCATCTTAACAGTTGCAAGTGTGAAGTTCGATTCCAGTTTGAAGAGCATTCTCCAAGCCTACCCTGTGACACAAGTAGTGCATACAACAATGCACATGAGAGCCTTTCCCTGTGCATCAATCATGTTCATTCTTCTTGTCAATCAGGTGATTGCTACTGGTACAATGACCCTAGCAACTAAATGCCCAGAGTGCAAAATTTCAACCCTTCATACTACAGGCAAACCAATTCTTAGGGGTTGTTGGAAGGAGGGGTGTAATGGAAAGCTTGCAGCCTCAAAGTATCATTGCACTACGTGTAATTATGATGTGTGGTTGCCCCTCCACAAATGCAGCGTTCATGGAAGTGTTCCTGGGCTACTCAAAGAGCCAGGTCCATCTCAAGCAGGATCAACACAACAAGGAACAACATCAACCTCCTAAAAGGGTACCATTTATGGCAGACATGCCTCAGTGGGAATATCTTTTCCTCTTTCATTTATTCCAAAATTGGTTTAGTTTGATAAATGATGGTCCAGTTACACTTACTGTCAGCAGTGGGTTATATTGGTCCAAGGTGATGAAATCCGCTCAATGGAAGTTTGATGGAGCTTTTGCATATAACTTTAAGGAACTAGTATTTGCCCCCAATTTTGGGAAGGTTGCTTGTTTTTGCCCCAAATGCTGGTGGGTTTTACTTGATGAGCTTTTGCCCCTTTTGGGGTATTGCTTGAATTGGGCACCTCTCTCAGTCTAAGGTTGGCATCAACAAATGTGAATTGGAGGTTGGCGCCAGCATTAGATTGAATGACACTTTGCTTGGCTCTCTGAGTCTATTCTTTTAGTTAGATGTAGATATAACATTTTGGGATTAAACATTTCCCAAAAATTGGGCAATATCAATAGATTTACTTTGATTTTCAGAAAAGGACTTGGTGAATAAAATAAATAAAAATGAAATTTGCTCTTTTGGGATTCTTCATACACCCAAAAAGGATGGTCAATTTTAGATGATTTTTAGCATACAGTCAAAACTAAGGGCATACCCCTGGGTCACAATATGTTGCCATGCCCTTATAGAGTGATTTTTTTGCAAAATGACAGATTGGTCTTAGATTTTTCCTATGCAGTTTGGCAGATTATGTGGTTAGAAGTGTATGCCCTTGGACGATTTTCACTGTAGTTGGAGTGCACTACACATCTCCCTTTTAATCCATGACTTATTAACCCATAACCCCTTGTAGCCCATAGGAAATTGGGTCCACCAAAATTGCCAAAGTGCTGAAAAACTCCACTTATTAACCCATACACCACTGTAACCCATAGCAAAATGTGTCAACCAAGGGGTATGGGTAAATGGAGACCTGACTGTAGTGCACCACGTGAGCTTTGGGCTTGAGGGGCGGGCTTTGGGCCCGGCCCAGTGTGTTTGACCCTGAGTCCTACTCGGTGTTGGATGGACTTCATCACTTGACCGACCAGCAACGATGCAGACAGTCCGAAGACTGAGCAAAAGCCTCCGACAGGTCCGGCAGTCATCGAGCTCATCCCAGTTGAGTGTTTTTCCTCTAGCCCCAATTTTTCGAAGGAGATTGCTAATGACCGGACACTTGCGGATTTGGGTAGGTTTACGAATATCATCCAACGCGCCGATGGCGAGCGTCCGGGACAGGCCGGGGATGACGAGATGCTGTCGGTACGCTCGGTCCACGAGCGGGCGTTCACGCTCTCGAACGACACTGTCGTCCCGGCGAATCTCTTCCTCTTCAACGCCCGCGGCATGCTCTGGAACCCTGCCAGGGACATCTATCCCCACCCTGCTGGCCCCGCCGACCCAACCAAGATTGTCAGCCAGTTTAAACTCTTCGAGATAATTCATCCCCGCCCTGGTCAGTCGGTCTTCTCCCTACCTTTCTCTCAGTCGTTCAATCCCAGTTAATAGTAAGGTTTTGGCTTTACCTCCATTTTTTTAGAAATGGTCATCCTTGGCGCGGGCAAAAGTATCCTGACTATCGACCCAGAAAAGATTGCGGCCATCAAGAGCTACCTGAACTCGATCGGCATCCAGCTTGACGTCCTCGATACAGCGAGTCCCCTTCGATTTACATCTCTTATAACCGTGTCCTTTCTGATTCTGATAGCGGCAAATCTTCTTTGCAGCGGAACGGATGCTCGAATTACAATCTCTTGGTCGAGGAGGGGCGCTCCGTGGCCGGCCTCTTCTTAACCCTGGAACCGGTGGACTCAATTAGCTCACAACTGCTATCTTCTGTCGATCCTCAAAACTCCCTCAAGCGCTCTTAAGCATCATCAGACTTTTTTTTATCAATCAACCTTCCTAACTTTTTTCTGTCTTTGTATGAGATAACCAAGCAAGCATGTAGGCAAATGTCCGAGTTTTTTTTGGGTATCTAGTCATGTTGTACATGTGCTATGTTCCCTAACAACTTGTTCGCATCCTGAGCCTATGGGGTCTTAGAAATCCGATGTATGCAAATATTACCCTAGAGCGGCAGAGCCTCATAATCTCTATCACACCGTTGCAGACGCACTGGCCAATTATCAGGTGCAATATGGGCGCTGACTCCTCTCTGAGTCCAGAACTTTATATATATGCGGCTGTCCACCCGAACTGGTCCGATCTTTCACCGCGGTTGGCCAGCTCCGAAGGGGCCAGCGTGTGTTGGGATATGATTGACCCTCCAAACGTCGAAAAGCGGCTCTGTATCTATTTATTTTATTTCAAATCCTGGGTGGATGGGTCAATCAGGCAGATCATGTGACGCGATCCAATTCCCACATGAGCAAGCTACTCTGTGAGAGATCGGGACTTTAAAAATGCGTCGGATCGGACGGAGGAATCCCGAGGAATCTCGATAACGACGGTTCTGAAGGGTTCTGAAGTTTGTCTGGATTCTTTCCTCTTTGGCATAAAAAGCAAGGCCAGCTGGTTGCCCCTCCTCAACACCCATGATCCATCGCCACTTGTTCTCTGCGCAAAATAACAAACATCAGAACGTCTGTTCCAAAAATTCCTCCAGATCCCCAGCTTGTTCACGTTTGACTATCCGTTCCGCCTGAGTATTTTGTCTGAAATCGACTACCATCTATCTCGCCATGAACTCTTTTTACTGTGCTTCAACCATCATCGCGCTTCTCCTTCTCCTATCTCATGTGGCGGAAGGTGCTGTTACGTGCTCAGTCGATGCAAATGGAACTTGCCACTGCAACAACGGTCAAATCGTTCCTCATTGTCAAGGTTGACGAATTCGGTGAGCCTTTCTGCACTCGAAATCTGAAAGAAACAGCCTGAAGCTTATCCATTTGTAAACAACTTGAATCTTTTCCTTGTCTTCTCTCTGTCCTAGTCGAAATTAACATTGAACCCTCAAGTTTCATGTCTCGGAGTCGAATCCTTTCAGCAGCCTCATGATCCACCAATCTGACGTCAAGGGACCCACCCCAGCACCCACAGATTCCGAACTCCTGCCATAGTTTCAATCCGCCTATCTAAATCTGTCTACCCATGTCCAATTTTGCTACATTTCTATGTCTCACTTTGTTGTGAAGCAGTACTGAAATCAAAACCTGGCTGACTCATCATATCAAAGTAGTAGTTTTTTTTTTTTTTTTACTTTTCTGCTTTGAATTCTTCCTCCCCTGATTCTTCATTTTTCCTGTGTTAGAAATCAGAATGGAAGTTTGACTACCTGCCCTTTTCATTCAATTGTCTGCATCATCTATCCTCTGTGTGTCAGAGTCTGCCTTGTGTGTTGCTTACACGGCAGTTGCATGGATTAAAGTTTCGGTCGGCAATTTGCCGCGAGGGTCGAAATGCGAGCGATCCGCCAGCCCGCTCACGGGCCTCAGGTCAGCCGCAAAATTGACGGTGTGCACCCGCCGGGGAGACTAAAATTTTGCAAGTATATATTGCAATAGGGGACATGAAATTTTAATCACTCTCTAGAATAGTAGTAGCAGTCTGGCGCAGCTACACATACTTTTGCTGGGAGCCTGGGTTCAATCCGCTCCGGGGCCATTTTTAAGGGGAAAGCCGTCAATTTGACCGCGCTGCCGCGGTCAGGAGTGCCGCCAGTTTGGCGGCTAGCTTGACGGCGGACCGGAGGCCCGTTTGCAAACGGTCGACAGCTCCGGCAAATTGATCAACCAACTTGTGGTCAAATTGCCAACTGCCTGCAACCGCCGTGTACTGCTGCCACCACCTTGGAATCAACAGATTTGCTTTTTCATCAACTGTTTCTTTGCATGTGAACAAGGTCAGTTGGAGCTGGGGCTTGAGCTAGCTTAACAAATCCCCTTGACAGAGGGCCAGAGGCAACTCCCGAAGCGAGCCCCTGAAAGAGGGGCTTATGAGTCAAGTCAAAAGTTCAGCCCAGAAGCTGGTACATTTTGTGGCTTTTTTATGGCATCTTACTCTAAAATGCCCATTACTCCAAGGGCATTCATCCAAAACAGTAGCGGCAAACTGTGTTGCATACACCTAGGGCACACACCGACGTGGGCCGACTGTTAGAGTAGAGTATGCATGATTACAAAAACATACTACATAACTATGTACTTAGACTTCACGTACATAGTTTCTCTAACCTAGTCGGTGATAGGGCTAAACCCTAACCCTATCACTCCCAAGCACACATAGTACCGGCACCACACACCCGGGTCTCCTCTCTCTTTTCCTCACCGAGATTGGATACCCGGACTCACGTGTGGTGGCTTCCCCACGGTGAAAGGGGTTGTAACCGATACAACCCCTTTCGCCGTGCCCCGCGACGGACTGTGTTTGTGCAGGTTAGTTGATCATGTTCTAAGCAATGTACACCGAGATTGGATACCCGGACTCACGTGTGGTGGCTTCCCCGCGACGGACTGTGTTTGTGCAGATCCTGAGTTCCAACACCGACACCGTTTTTCACCGTGGATCCCACGAGTGGCGCCCGCGGGAGGTCGGACCAGGACCTGACGGTCCTTAGTATTCCGTGGGCTCCACCAACCGGTCCACGAGTGCATCGCAAGATTGTCCCGTACGAGGAAGCTCGCAGGGCCACTGCTAGAGATGGGCGGGGATAATCCGTTGCGGATATCCGCTATCCGCTGGCGGATATCCGCCAGGGGATGCGGATGTCCTTTCCCCCCCCCAAATCCCGGCGGATATCCGGGTATCCCCTGGGATACCCAAGACCAATGGCCGGCTGGAAGGGTTTCCTTCCAGCCGGCAAGGTCCTTCCAGTCGTCGAGGCATGTACCTCGTCGACTGGAAGGGTTGCCTTCGAGCCCGGGAGGCATGTACCTCGCCGGCTGGAAGGTTTCCCTTCCAGCTGGCGAGGTACATGCACCGCCGCCTGTGAGACCTTCCCCCTGCTGGGGATGATGTACCATCTGCCGGGCTAGTGAACGCTTTTTTACAACGAGGTACGTGTACCTCGTCGACTGGAAGGAAACCCTTCCAGTCAACAAGGTACATGTACCTCGCTGGCTGGAAGGTTTCCTTTCCAGCTGGCGAGGTACATGTACCTCACCAGCTGTTTCCTTCCAGCTGGCGAGGTACGTGTACCTCGTCGACTGGAAGGGTTTCCTTCCAGCTGGCGAGGTACATGTACCTCGCCAGCTGGAAGGTTTCCCTTCCAGCCGGCAAGGTACATGCCTCGCCGGCTGGAAGGCAACCTTTCCAGCCGGCGAGGATGTGCCTCGCCGGCCATTTAGAGGGCGGGTATCCGAGGATATCCGCTCGGATACCCGCTAAGGCGGGGGGATATCCGCCAGGGGATGCGGATGCGGGTGCGGATGCCGCTTTCCCCGGAAAAAGCAACCGGATATCCGCATCCGCGCGGATATCCGGATGCAACGCGACCATCTCTAGCCACTGCTAAAGAATCGGCAGCGGCCCCAAAAAGTGCGCATGCGGAGTCGAACTCCGGTAGTGGACCCAGGCCGAGCATCCAGGAGGATGCTTGACCGTTTTTCCACATGGAATTGATATCGGATGCATCCTTCCGAGATCAAACCTGCTGAAAGTTGTCGTTCCCTTTACTTTCAAGCAAAAAAAATGTTCAAGTTTTTGTTTAATTTTTTTTTCAACACTCGGTTTTCTCGAGTTTTCAGACTGTCAGGACCCACATCGGTGGGTCCTGGTTGTAGGTGGATTGAGGGTCGGCCGTCGTGGAAGCCACGTGGGCAACGTGCCCACACGCTCCCGACCAAGTCAAATTTGGTTTTGTGGAATCAACAATGAAAAAAAGCTTGGTTCGTGGAACCGACGGCGAAATTGGACTTACCAAACACTTACAGAGCCGATCTTGTGGGTTCCACGGATTGGCTGTGATTCGTCGGTTCCACAATCCCGCTTGGCAAGAAGTGCCCCTGGGGTGTAGGTGAGCATAAGACCTTGCTTTCCATATATTTTGTTTTTTTTTTTATTGGCTAACACTCATCCATCCTTTGGATAGAAATTTGAGGTCTTCATTCGACCAAGAAATGGGCTTATTGCATGAGAGGTGGTAAAAGGCATAGTATACCCATTACATTTAGCATGTGGCAACTGTTGTTCATTTCATACAGGTGTCTTGAGTTCCACAGAGCTGTACGTTATTGAGCAAAAGTCCATAAGTGTGTACAGGCGCATGAGTACAGAATATATGAGAATTTTGACAAAGGAACCTGAGGACCTTCATCATCCTCATAGCAAAATGACCTTCTTTGAAGGCATGTGGGGCCAAGACTAGACAGCTCCTAGCTTTGGGGCTGAGACAGAAAATTAGAGGCGACAGAGGCCATTTCCCTAGTCCAAACGGGTGAACATATTTCTGTCAGGAAGTAGGCAAAATGGTGTGGGCAAACCTTTTCCCTACTAACCACCACCCCAACATTATTCGCAAGTCCCTCCTTTGGAGGGGCGCTTGCGCCAGGCCCTCTGATTGAGGGACTTGTTGTTAAGTTAGGGGCTTGAGAAAATTTGAGGAGTCTTGTTGATTAATTCCGCACAGCTACCTCCCCGGTATCATACCAAATGAATCCTTCTTCAGCATGCCTTACTTATTTTGATTGATTATTTATGTGGCAATTGGTAAATGAGACTTTCACAAAATCAGCATCAGGATATGGTACAGAGAATTCAGGTTTTTATTAAAGCCCTGTTTGGACAACCCATATACATGATTGAACTTCACTAAGTCCCTCCTTGCCTGAGGGACTTATGACTTACCAGGAATTCTCGCATGAGACTTCCGGATATTTGACCCCCCATTTTGTTATATTGCATGTAACTCACACATTTCCCAACCTATGTATCCAGGACCCATTTATCCTGAACGGCCTACTTCTTGGCATAATTTACATGTATTTTATATACAAAACATCCCGCACACTTATCTTTGAAAAATAAATCAGAAATTGAGAACCAATAAAATAAGGGGCTTGGTTAAACGACTCCCAAAAAATGGAGAGCCGACTCCCAAGCCCCGGAATCCCCGAAAATTGGGAGTCGAACCCCCAAAACCTTCGACAGGTTTGGGAGTCGACTCCCTAAAAAAATAATAAAAAAATAATAAATTCCCCGGTTGGTAAAGGAGTCGATCCTCCAAAACCAACCAGGGTTTGGGGGTCGATGAAACAAAATACCCCGGGCCCCACAGAAGCGGGCCGGGAGGATTCCTCCCGGCCGCTCAGATTACACACCGATGGCCGAGAGGAATCCTCTCGGCCGTTGAGATTCTGCTCTCAGCGGCCGAGGTGATTTCCCTCGGCCGTCGGCCGTCGAGAGTATACACCTCGGCTGTCGAGAGTGTACACTCTCAACGGCCGAGGGAAACCACCTCGGCTGTCGAGAGCGTACACTCTCGATGGCCGGGAGTGCACCCTCGGCGTCGAGAGTGTACACTCTCAATGGCCGAGAGGATTCCTCTCGGCCGTTGAGGGTATACACTCTCAAAGGCCGAGGGAAACCACCTCGGCCGTCGAGAGCGTACACTCTTGACGGCCGGGAGTGTACACAGCCTTTGAGAGGGTGTACACCTCGGCGGTCTAGGTACTTTCCCCGTAGGCCGTCGAGAGTATACACCTCGGCTGTCGAGAGCGTACACTCTCGATGGCCGGGAGTGTACCCTCGGCCGTCGAGAGTGTACACTCTCGATGGCCAAGGTGTATACTCTCAACGGCCGAGGTGTACACTCTCGATGGCCGAGGTGTATACTCTTGACGGCCGACGGCCGAGGGAAATCACCTCGGCCGCTGAGAGCAGAATCTCGAAGGCCGAGAGGATTCCTCTCGGCCATCGGTGTGTAATCTGAGCGGCCGGGAGGAATCCTCCCGGCCGCTTCTGTGGGGCCCGGGGTATTTTGTTTCATCGACCCCCAAACCCTGGTTGGTTTTGGAGGATCAACTCCTTTACCAACCGGGGAATTTATTATTTTTTTATTATTTTTTTTAGGGAGTCGACTCCCAAACCTGTCGAAGGTTTTGGGGGTTCGACTCCCATTTTTCGGGGATTCCGGGGCTTGGGAGTCGGCTCTCCATTTTTTGGGAGTCGTTTAACCAAGCCCCTAAAATAAAATGATTGTGATGTTGAGCATATCACCACATTTCATTAACAATTAATATGAAAAGTACATAGCACACAGATTGTTGAGTGTTTTATCCGTGAAAGGGGATTCCACAGCGTGTGTCAGGAGAAGAGACTCGCAACAATCAAGCTCACACAACCGGTCAGGGTTGGCTGGTCAACTGTTGAAACTCTAGACGCTTGGAACTTGAATTCCTTAACCATCAAATCATCGGTTCTCTATCAACTTCAAATATCCGGTGTAACTTCTCTCGGAAAATTCTTGCTGCACTTCTCATCAATGATATCCAAACAATTGTAAAGTCTTCGGCTC